CATGACAGTAATGCATTGCACTTGTTACCCCAGCACCAGCACTGCACTCTTCTGCTCTGGTAAGGAGGGGCCAAGAGTTGGTTATATCTGTCCACTTGTTGTGAAAAATAAGTTCCCCAGAACAGGTGCAGCACGGTAACATTTAGAGGCCTTTTCCTGTAGTTCAGCCATCTGGATTTTTTTTGTTGCTACACAGGTTGATTACTGTATTTGCGTTTCAATCTGTGCCCTTTAACCTCTGAGGCCAAGTTGTGGGACCGCTCCAAAGCACTGCATTTCTTTTATGCTGGTGCTGAACATCAAGCACTTTCTCCTGACACTTTAGCTAGGCAATAAATCTCACACATGCTCCAACCTCCCAAGCTTTTTTCCCCATAAGTTACTCATTTATTATTATTATTTTTTTTTTACGGTTATAAAATGAACTGGTAACAATTTACACTTAGGGTCCCATTCATTCTTACAGTGACTAACATGAACTAAAAAGAAGCAATCTCTTTGGTAATGTTAGATAATAAAAATACAGTTGTTTATCATTCTTGTTCATTGTGTTAAATTAACATGAATTAATCCTCTTCATTATTATTTTAGTATCATTGAGATACAATTACAATTTTTATTAATAGTTCAAATTATTTTCTGTTTTATTTTTAATTATTTTAGAATATCAAGTAAAAAAAAAGAAAATGAGAAATGTTTCCATGGGAATTAGCTGAAATAAAATGAGTTTAAGATTTTTTTTAATAACTTATTTTTGGTATCACTGGGATACTATTAGTTTTTGTTAATAGTTTGAATTATAAAAAGTTTGAAATTTTTATTTCAGTTTTATTTTTTAGTTATTTTAGTACATTAAGTTAAACTACATGAACATGTTTCCTTAGAAACTATCTGAAATAAAATAAATGTAAGATTTATCAATCACTTAGCATTTTTTATGATCTTAAGATTTAGATTTTTTTTTTTTTAATAACCCTGGTTCATATTTTACCTAATGGAAATTAGGTAAAATATGCAAAGAACCTAATTGCAAAGTATTACCTATTAAATCAAACATAAATGCAATGAATACAACCGTTTTTCAAAAAAAAAAAAAAAAAAGCATGAGAATATTCGCTTCAAATCTAGTTGCTGGTTTAGACTGCTAGTTGCCATTTTGCATTGAATAATTTCTTATAAGGTAGACAGGAACAAAGTGATCCTACCAAAGTTTACTCCGTTATCTTTTCAAATTATAGATGCATTCATTCCAAACTTACAGTGAAAAGTTTGCCATAATACATATTAAATAACTAGCACTTTGCAAGGTTGTAACAACTGCTGAAACTGGTTCTGCAGGGGATATAACTTTTGACTATTAATAGGGTGATAAAAGCTGTTTTGGAACATTGGGTAATGTGGCACAGCTTAATAAACATATAATTCCATATTCAAGCTGGGTCAGAATATTTACACTTTTTTTTTTTTTTTTAAACCAAGGATCTCTTTCATTCCTCCAAATTGCTTGTGGAAAAAGTGTTTACACCAAAGGATAACACCATTAAAGATGGGTGCATCTGTGTTTTTATTAAGGGGAAAACTGCTACAAATACACTGTGTAAGTATCTTATTAAACCTCAGTCAGTATTACAGCTTCAAAAATGCACACCATCATTAACATCAGCCATGTTATTACTGTTATCTCATTATTATTCATAGTCGTGAATGCATAATCACACTGAGCAAACACACAAACGCCGGTCCTGCAGCCACCGGATCACTGGAGGCACCCGAGAGGCGGTGGTGCCCTCTGCCTATGACAGCACAAAACACAGCTTCTCAGTAAAGTTTCCTGGACAGATACCGCCGAGCGGGTGCATTCATTAACATCACTCTTGAGTACAGAGACCATCACATGTCCATGAGTTCACCACGTTTCATCCTCAAGCATCCAGCGTTTACTGTTCCAGTAATAATAAGATGATACTACAGTTCTGAGCCACTGTTCTCCATTGAGTCCTTGGCCACTCATTAAGTTTCAAATACAGACAGACCGTGAGCCATCCATTGTTTGTTTATGTTGTTCTGGTGGACAGCCGTCAACCAACACAAGAAATGCAGAAGTCCTCTATGTTTATCCGTGACAGTATGCATTGATGTTACAATACAAAAAGAGTGAAAAATATACATTTTAAGGTCATTCTCAAAGGTATCAGAACTGGAGAGCTGTGTTGTACAATATCAAAAGTTTCACTTAAAAAAAAAAAAAAACACTATGCTACAGCTGTGCACATGAATATTGTTTGAGCACTATATTTAGACACTTAAAAAACATCATTGAGTAAAAACATTGGGATACTGGGAAACTCGGTTGTCTTTTTCTACTTTCTACTCTTCAATTTCATCTTAATCTTTCAAAACAAGACCAAAAAATACTGACACCATGTAAAACCTCAAAAGAAGCCAATGAAAAACACATTGCCATCAATTACAATGAACGCATATTCAGTAGGCAATTCTTGTTTGGAAACTATTGAAAAAGCTCCTTCTGCTTAGTTTTTACTACTGTGAGGACATTTTTTGTTGTTGTTGCCATCATGCTTTTGCAAATAACAATACAATATTACCAATTTCTGAAAAGTGACAGCATTTCTGAAAATGTATGATGTTTTAACCTGACCTACCTTTTTCACACGACAAATGATCTGCCTCTTGTAAAACACATTTGGCAGTTAGTCACGTTCCAGTTTAATACCACACATTTGAAGGTGACTATCACATTCTACTACTGTGGTTTGTTAATGTATACTGTTTACTGTAATAACACCAAAATTCCTGAATACTTCCCAGGAAACATGTTTGGTTTTTCATATTTTAATACTTTGTTTGGTTTGAAATACTTTTAGATAAAGGAAAACAAAGAACATTAACATTGCGCTATGCTTTGGCATTCACATTTGTGTACCTGTGTAGAGTATGTTTCTCTCCTAACGCTCAACGCTCAACTCAAGGTGTATCTTAAAACATGGTTGGGTATCTCTGCAAAGTAGGGATATTAGATCCCTAATGCCAAACCCTATCACACCAGTGCTCCTCTAAACATCAGTGCTTCTTAACACCGTACATAGGCTTGGATTCAACACTTACAAAGTACAAAAACCCCTACCAGTAGTAGTAAAAGAAAATGTTTTTTAAATATCGAGCCTGCGCTCTGAATGACTTTGTGGCCAAAGTGTACAACTACACACTCTTCCACGTCCTGTTAGGATGTTCTCAAGTTTCTCCATATCGATGCTGCTTTCAAGTCACGTTGGAATAATTGTATTTAGTTGACATGAATGCCTTTCAATACAAGAATCGTGGCGGAAGCTGGTATTGATCATAATGCAATGTAGTTGTGAAAATGAATTCACATCATAATTTTGAATGGAAAGGGGTGCTTTTAAAAAGCAGAGAGTGTAAATTTAACCAGTAGGCTAACTTGGCCATGCTAATAAATCAATCTTTGGCCACCTAGTGATCACTAAGTGTGTAAAAATGTCAAATCATTTTCTGTGGCAGCACAAGAATGATAAAATATGTGCTAAAAAGCTTTCAATGTTTTATCGGTAAATGATAGCGAGAGAAAGAAACATTCCCAATGAATCCATCTTATTCTTAGTAGTAAAAGAAAATGTTTTTTAAATATCGAGCCTGCGCTCTGAATGACTTTGTGGCCAAAGTGTACAACTACACACTCTTCCACGTCCTGTTAGGATGTTCTCAAGTTTCTCCATATCGATGCTGCTTTCAAGTCACGTTGGAATAATTGTATTTAGTTGACATGAATGCCTTTCAATACAAGAATCGTGGCGGAAGCTGGTATTGATCATAATGCAATGTAGTTGTGAAAATGAATTCACATCATAATTTTGAATGGAAAGGGGTGTTTTTAAAAAGCAGAGGGTGTAAATTTAACCAGTAGGCTAACTTGGCCATGCTAATAAATCAATCTTTGGCCACCTGGTGATCACTAAGTGTGTAAAAATGTCACATCATTTTCTGTGGCAGCACAAGAATGATAAAATATGTGCTAAAAAGCTTTCAATGTTTTATCGGTAAATGATAGCGAGAGAAAGAAACATTCCCAATGAATCCATCTTATTCCATGTCCTCTTTTGGAAGGCCAAACAAAGTAGTTTCACTTTCACAAGAAACACACAGCATCACACATGGCGGGCTTGAGTGAGCAGCGGCCGGCGGGCTTGAGAACGCCGCAGCCGGCAGGCTTGCGGCAACCACATGTAACGACCCTGGGCTGGACTCCGCTTCGTCCAAGGTGAAAGCCGATCCGGCGATCCACAGCGCAAAGTTGATGTATTTCCTCAGCGACTAGCACGGATCAGCTCTAGGCATGACAAAGCGGATATCTTCCTCTTTTGGAAGGCCAAACAAAGTAGTTTTGCTTTCACAACGAAACACACAGCATCTCCACGACATGGCGGCTGCGGCACCAATACTACAGCGAGAATAAAAGTTACGCCTTCTTTCTCTGCGTGAACATTTGGGCGGTGTTATGCAAATCTTCCCACACAGTGACGTAGACATGTGGGGGCGTGTTTAAACGAGGTGTTTTAGGAGGGCGTGGACAAGTCTTACATTTTATAAAGAATATCTCTTTGGGTTTGAGACTTAAGTCTTTGCAACTTTAGGGATCTTATCTATGCACTAACAGCTTGTAACACTCCAAAGAGAAAGGAAAACTTGAAATTGCATCATATCATCATATCATCCTTTTAAAAAGGGAAAAGTTGCTCTTCTTGGGTGAATCTTGGTGAAGATTTTTTTTAAATGTCAAAATACATTTGCTTAACCCAGTTTATTGACTACTGTATGTATGACAATCATGGGTTTATCTCCCCCAAAAGTGTAAATATTGAGCTTCCCAGGCCCCATCATATCATTTAGAGCAGTCCACTCCAGCTCAACCTATAGTGAGAGTTTGGGACATGGCTACTGTAGCAGGCTGAGCCAGAGGGTGTTTAGCTGGTGTGGTATGACGGCTGATATGTCTCATTGGAAAAACAAGTTCAGATTCGGTTACAGATGTGTAAGAGAAAATTTGGCAACCAGGTAAAACAAGGGTAAACAGTGGCAGTGCTTTTAGAAGATGGAGGAATTTGATGGAATGTATGGGTTTCAATTGAGACTTGCAGAGTTTCTTCTCCAAGGTTATAGGGATAGTTCACCCAAAAATGAAAATTCTGCCATTAATTGCTCAGCTGCATGTCGTTCCAAACCTGTAAGACCTTCATTCACCTTCGGAACACAAATTTTCGAGAGCTCTTTGACCCTCCCATGGACAGCAAGGATCCTAACACAATCAAGGCTCAGAAACGTAGCAAGGACATCGTTAAAATAATCCATGTGACATCAGTGGTTCAACCGTAATTTTACGAAGCTACGAGAATACTTTTTGTGCACAACGAAAACAAAAATAATGACTTTATTCAACAATTTGTCTCCTCCGCATCACCCTGGCGCCATTTTGGAGAGTATCACATACGTAAACAACGTATTCTGTTCTGTGTTAGCAGCACTGTATGCGGATGCGCCATTTATGTTGTTTACGCTTTGATCGGAACGTAAACAACATATTCGCGTACATACGAGGAGACAAATTCTTTATTTTTGTTTTCTTTGCGCACAAAAATATTCTCGTAACTTCGTAAAATTACGGTTGAACCACTGATGTCACATGGATTATTTTAACGATGTCCTTGCTACGTTTCTGAGCTTTGATCATTTTAGGATCCTTGCCGTCTATGGGAGGGTCAGAAAGCTCTCAGATTCCATCAAAAATATCTTAATTAGTGTTCTTGTCACATGGATTATTTTAACGATGTCCTTGCTACGTTTCTGAGCTTTGATCATTTTAGGATCCTTGCCGTCTATGGGAGGGTCAGAAAGCTCTCAGATTCCATCAAAAATATCTTAATTAGTGTTCTGAAGATGAACGAAGATCTTATAGGTTTGGAACGACATGAGGGTGAGTAATTAATGACAGAATTTTCATTTTTGTGTGAACTATCCCTTCAAGCTAAAATGCTAGTTCTTGACTGTCAAGCTATAGATACCGTGATGTGCGAAAGGGCATGATGAGTGTAAGGGGCATTTGCAAAGTTGGATTGAAAATATGCTTTATTTTTGTAATTCCACCAGGTGACACTAGTAGCAAAGAAATGGCATAGTTCACCTTGATATAGGTTCATCTATTGCATAAAGAAAACAAATCTAGTTTAGAACCATTACAGTGTTTTGCACTGTAACATTAATTTAGTTATTAAGTCCATTTCCCTTCTAGATTATTAATCCCGTAACACATCTGGATGTTTATTCACATTATATTGGGAACAGAGCGTTAGAATACAAAATGGCGAATACATAAATATAAAGTATAATCTTTTTGCCTTCTTACCACAAATGTGTCATAGGAGAATTTGTGCCGGTGGAGAAGATGCTGCAGGAAGTTGGAGCTCTTATAGCTGGGGTCACCCCAAGGCATAGCTGAACATACTGGACATACCTACAAAGAAACAAAACATAAGAGCAGAGTGGACATTTTGCTAAATATCTCCTTTTATGTTTCCACAGAAGAACAAATATCATATGGGTTTCAGTCTACATTAGGGTGAGTAAATGCTAGACTTTTCATTTCAGTTTATTGGTACTTGGCATCCCTGAAACTGTAAGGTAACTGACACTCACCACTTTGTTGGGGTCATTGCGATGGTTATCCATGCAGTGCTTCACTAGTTCCTGTTGGTCCAAGTTGCGAGCGCCACAGAACGGGCACACAAATGTGGAACGGTTTGGAATATTGCTGTTAAAAAAACAAAACAAAACAAAAAAAATACAGAATATTGCTATGTCTTAACCATGTGGTCTGATAAACTAGTTTTGGATCTACACTATTACATAATAAGTAGTAGCCCGGGAGCAAAAGAGTAAATAGGCAAATTAACAGAGTTGTGTAACAAACTTGATTATCAGTGTTCACATGAATAATGCATATGTGCAGCCAGAAGGGTGTATAATATTTTGAGAATAACTTTCAAGTCTATAAGAAATGAGCCAAGAACCTTCTGTTCACATTCCTGACCTCCCAGTTTTCAGCAGCTCCTTTCTTTTGTCTACAGGGATTTCAAAAACTTTGGTGATATTACTTTTAGTTAAGACCATAAAACATTAATACGGCAATTAAATATTATCATTGAGTAACTTGCGTTTGAGGCAAAATTATCCAGCAAACATGAATGCAGCCCACTAAAATGTTTTATTGTTTACAATTATTTTTCTGATGTTCTTATTTCAGCAAGCTACAAGACCATTCATATCCTAGAGAAAAGGAGAGAAGAGAAGAAAAGGGTGAAATTTCAGCAAAAATATTTGGCACAAGACTTAACCGATCAAAGTCAAGTTGTCTCAAGATTGACACAGTCATTTCCAGTGTGAGCACTGTTGACATGTTGCTATAATTCTGACTTTTATTGGTGAATAGGTGATTTAAAAAAAAAAAAATTATTACGGGTAATGTAACACTTCACTAGGATTTCAGTTTAAATTCAATTTCATTCAATATTTACTTCTGGGAACCACATTGTCATGCTTTATATTATCAAGAATTAGACCTATTACATAAATCACATGAAAAATACAATAAATTAAACATAATATTAATAATATATATATAGACAAATAATGTCCTGAAAGTGTCAACCAGAGATAATTTCTTTCAGGGGAGTCAGATTTTTTTGCATTTTTTTAGAATTCTGCCATGCAGCTTGAATACCCTGATGGTCTGGCAAAGACATTAGCTTGCTCAGTGGGAGCCTTTTCATATTTGACTTGCAAAGCCCAATCAGCAAACAGCATGGAAAAGACTTCAACAGACGGAGACATAACTGGATTAATAGATGAGGCTTGGGCAGAGAGGCATAGAGGATCTTGAGGTCTCTATCACTTTCACCATGACCAGAGCTTTTCTGTATTACCATGACACCAAGTAAGTACCACAGAGGACAAAGACTGTACAGCTGTACCCAAAATCTTAATTATCCAGAGGGCAAGTCTGAATTGAACACCCATTCTTGTCTACCGAGATGCCTCCAAATGGTCAGTTTTTGAAGGAAGTGTATGATATCCCACAACCCTGCTGGTGAAAAAATAAAAATGGTGTCTGAGTGTCTGACAAAAGATGAAATATAATGGTGTCATTCATCTTCAATTTAGGACTAGAGAAATAAGGATGATTATCAATAAAGTCAACATGAAATCAACATTTTACTTCATAAAATGTGATCAAAATGTAATAACTTGCTCCACAACTTTCCTTTTCTGCTGATGTCAACAAGCCTTCTTATTTTTCAACTTCTTCATTCAAACCCACTTGTGATAAAGACACTTTTCTCAATGAAATTAAAATATAGTCCTGAGTAGGGGTATGTGATACTGAACCCTCCCACATACAAAAAACAACATCTCCATTATTTCCTGGGTTTTTGTATAATGATAATCGACATTATTTTGCAGAGTGGTTTTTTTGTGTGTGCTAGTACACTGTCACCGTCATAGAGAGCTGACTCCTAAAGCTTTTCATATTCTGCATATTCTTTGCGTTTCATAGCGGTGACAAAGTTTTCCACTAGGAGGCAATATTTGCCCCCTTAAAATGATTTCAAGCGGATTTTTACCTTAAGCATCTTTTAAAGTCTTACATTTAAAGGTGCAGTAGGACATCTTGGAAAATGCTAACTTTAGCCTGATAGCACTGAAAGCGAACGTCCCACCCTCCCTGCAATTGCTGTCCAAGGCCATGCCCCCTGAACGCATTTACACTCACAGACCAGAACACCAGAGACAGCATTACAATAGACTACATCAGCAGTTCCCAATTCCAATCCTCATGTCCTCCTGCTCTGCTCATTTCATATGTATCTCTTATCACGTGCGATGTTTGTTCTATTCGACCGTGAGTGCCCTGGGAAGTGTACATCACCGGATATTCCGCCATGATTCCAGTTCGAAGCGAGTGTATATGTTCCATACAAAGGACATTAAAGTGTGCGAGACGTGAATTTAAATAGTATTTATTTACAGAGGTATTTTATGTCACACTTCACAATTCTCTAGTACAGGGTTCCCACTCTTTCATGAACACCAGATTCAAGGACTTTTTAAAGCACCATTTATTTTATATCAAGCACCTATCAAATTCACACCCCAGAATATGTAGTCATAAAAGACCTTACAGTACTTAACATTTCACTTACACTTAACATTTACATTAAAAATTTCAGAGTAATAATGTTTTGAATGTGTAGGTTTCATAAATTTAGACCGTTTTGAGCAGTCGTGTTCAAAGGAATTTAATGAAATCCATTGAAGTCAGTACTGGTGATAAAATTCAATTTCTAAAATATTGATAAAATATGCATCAAACTGATTTTTGCTGTAGTTCCTGTACACGATTTAAATTTGAAAGAATTTCTCAATTTTTAAATTAATAAAAAGTGGTTAAATGTTGTAATAACATGGTAAAACCTGTTAACATATAAATTTGCACATTTACTCAAAAGATACTTTACTCATTAATAAATAAACTCGTCAAAAAAATTTTGTAAATTACTTTTTATTGTAAATACCATTTATTTATCTTTGACCTAGGAATGCAGCTCAAACATGCAGCTGCTCAAAACGTCAGTATTTTGGAATTGGTCAAATGTGCTTGGAAAAAAATATGATCAGAATATCAACGTGCCTAATAATTATGCACACACTGTAAGATGTGCTCCCTTTACACAGAGTAAGCATGATCGCGAAATCAAAAGTGAAAGTGAACAGCGAGCGCTCATTCAAATGTGATTTCAATACCCCGCATATTGATAGCGGCTCCCTGATGTGCGAAAATAATATACAATATCAGAATGTTTGCGGGAGCGGGACACATACGTTGCTGGAGTGGGCGGTAATGGTCAGAAATTCAGCGGGAGCGGGCTTAAGAAAACTGTCCCCAAGGCTCTAGGCTGTGCATCAACACACATGCCAAGTATTTTTCGGCTACCCCATCTCCACCCCCAATCATTAGTGCCGTTTCACTCTGTCTTTGACAGAACATATAGGACAATTTTTGAAATAGCGCCATAAACAGGAGTTGAAGCAAAAAAATATATTTTTATATATTTTTATAAATATTTTATATAAATATATAATTTTTCCTCAGCCAAACACCATTCCACAGCCCTACCTGCCACCCACAGTTTAAAAGCATTTTTTTATTCTTGTAATTAGGAGTGAACAGCGAGCGCTCATTCAAATGCGATTTCAATACCCCGCATATTGATAGCGGCTCCCTGATGTGCGAAAATAATATACAATATCAGAATGTTTGCGGGAGCGGGACACATACGTTGCTGGAGTGGGCGGTAATGGTCAGAAATTCAGCGGGAGCGGGCTTAAGAAAACTGTCCCCAAGGCTCTAGGCTGTGCATCAACACACATGCCAAGTATTTTTCGGCTACCCCATCTCCACCCCCAATCATTAGTGCCGTTTCACTCTGTCTTTGACAGAACATATAGGACAATTTTTGAAATAGCACCATAAACAGGAGTTGAAGCAAAAAAATATATTTTTATATATTTTTATAAATATTTTATATAAATATATAATTTTTCCTCAGCCAAACACCATTCCACAGCCCTACCTGCCACCCACAGTTTAAAAGCATTTTTTTATTCTTGTAATTAGGAGCGCTTGTCCTCCTAATTCAAAAAATTTAGGAGCACCTACTGATCAATAATAAAAAATTCTGATAAAAAATTAGCCTTCCTAATATGAGGTGACATTTGACTCAAAGTGTAATGGCATCTTTTTCATCCATGTCAAATTAAAAAATGTATGTTTATAAGCTTTTTAAAATTTCTATTTAAAACAATATAATAAGAAGTAGAATAAGACAAATAGGTTACCAATCATATGAAATTAGTATTAATAAAAAATGTATTTGTACTACAGAGGTGGCACAGAAGAACACAAAAGTGGCTTGTAGGTACATTTTCAGACGTTTAATGAGGCTCAGAGGTGGCATGAGTGCAATTAAATTCATACATTTATGTGGAGATTAATGTTTTAAATATAACATTTTGAATACAGAAATATTAAATGATTTAAATAACTGAAATTATACGCTAAAAATGAAACTAAATCCGCCAGCAGATGGCGACAAGTCACTGATTGTATCACTGAATCATTCATTCAATTCATTCGTTCGAACAGCTGATTCATTCAGGAACAGAAATGAGTGGTGTCATAGGATGAACATTTCTTGGTCCTACGCCTTCCACAGAATATATAAATACAGATAAATACATTTAGACCACTTAACTTAATGATTGCTATCCGGATGTGAAGAGACTTTCAACCAGCATAACAAAAAATGTTTCTGAAGACAATCACCTATTGCACCTTTAATCAGTAAAATTAATTTTAGTAATAAGAAACTACAGGGCTGTACCAGCATCTGTATCTACAAAATTGAAGAAATGGCACAGAAGAAGCATTTAGATCTATTTAAACAGACTATTTAATGCAGCTCAGATATGGCTTTAATGCATTTACTATTGCATAAATAATGTGATGAGATGTGTTGGTTGTAGATGCAAAACCGCTTCGCTGTTATGTTATTTAAAAAAATTTCACTGACATGTTAAATGAAAAAGCAAAACAAAAAAACAGCCAATAAAATGTACCCAAAATTACAATTTATTGTTTATTGAACTGTTTTCTAAAATCAGCATGACAACTGCAGTCATGCTGATATTCAG